TAAACTATTAATATAAAGTTAATAATAATATTATAATTTAATTATTTAATAATTTTATAAAATTATTTATATGGTAATTATATTAATTAATAAAAATTTAATCAATTTACTCTTAACATTAAATTGTAATCAACTGTAAGTGGATGAAAATTATTTTCAATAAAACCGTATCCGAGGCATATTGCTTCATATATTCATGTACATGCTTCACTAGTAATGTTGACCGCATACAGAGTCAGGCGATGTGCAAACCTGTTGACAAGCAACCAGAAGCAACACCTGTGCCATTGGTGTAATAATCTGTCGCGCTATATCACGGCGCAACCTCGTCAATTTGATATATGTGTGAACCATAAAATACATCTATATTCCAAGACTCGAACTTTGATTCGAATAAGATAGATAGTACGAAGATTATAATAAGTAATATCAAAATGCAAATGATAAATATTGCAGTTGAAAATAACGCATGATAAAAATATTGAGCTTGCATATTGATATATATATAAATCTTTATTAATCATTTATCATTTTTATCAAAATATTAATGTTTTCTTTGCTAATAAAATTCATATTTATATTGTAAGACAAAAACATATGGCTCTATTCTTTTAAGAAATGAGAGGAATTGCCTTTTCTCAAAAAGAATTTTCTTATCATTTTTTATAATTTTCGAAAAAACAGCTTGTAATACTTTACGTAGACCATCCTGTACATATTTAGTACGACTTAATTTTTTCTATCATCGTTTAATCTATTGACATTTCTTGATCTTTGCTACAATATTACGACATTAGCAACGTTCCATATAACAATTTCGCATGATGCCTATATTTCGATTTACGACACTGTTCGAAGTTGGTACATGGAAGGTCGACAAGGGAAGTTTCGACATATTCATGTACTAAAAGGCCAGTAATCTCATAGTGGAGAATATATAGCGCGGAATATCTCGAGTTGTCAAATTATCATCCTGCATATGCATAAGCGCGACGGCGATGTAATGTATATCTAAAAGCGCTTTATACTTTCTGAACACGCAGTGTAGCTTAACACAGCAATTTCCGACAACATTGGCTATTCTGTATAATTATGTATTTCGAAAATTACAACGGCTTCATTACACTTGTATTGCGGACATACTATATATATCGCGTATTTTTTATAAATAATTCTTAAATCAACTTTAAAATTTTTCCATTTTTAAATAAAAATGGTAAATTATTCTTATTCGTGCTATTTCTTAATAAAATTGTTAATAATATGCTAAAATGTATCGTATTATATATCAAAAAAAAAAAAAAACTTAATTCATTGTTAGCTTATGTATGAAAATTTTACGAAGTATACGAGATACTCCAGAACGATCGCTATTTTTCCTTCTTTCAGATTCGACCATGCGAGAAATACATTACAAAAGACAATTTATTCGAGTTACTTCTCTTACGATATTCCACAACCGATAAAATAGCATTTTCGGTATGTTTTATCACTGCGAGATACATAGTGCACGCAGTCGCATAGGCATTGTCCAATGCATTTCGAATGAGCTGACACGGAAACTGGCTGCCCCACGATGCGCGCGAGCGATATAATATTTTTAACACATTCGGTCATAAAAATTCCATCTAGCGTCGACACTCGACCGAAAGCGAATTTCTCGATCTTGCGAAGCCATTCGATGCGCCAAACGTCACCGGCACAAACTCGACGCGACGTCGACGCCGTATAATATTCTCGGACCGACGCGATTCGGTTTACGATGGTGGCTCACGAAGTCGTTGCACATACGTTACACGACGGTAACTGGTCCGGGGAAACTGCATGAACCCGCGGGACCAACGACACATGGACGGACAAGCCGCAAAACGGCATTGTTGTCCTTGGAAAGCGATTCACGGTGTAAATCGAGAGAAAACCGTACGAGTTTCCGCGAGATGGAACACAATCGCGGAAAAGCGCGATATGTACGGAGTGCCGGAAGCGAATCAATCCCCGGTGGAAAAGTTTCGGCTGTTTCCGAAGCGAGTTAAACTTTGGCAATACCGAAGCGCGGGACAAACTTGCGACACCTACTTACGGACCTTCGCCAATTCATTCTCCTGCTCGTTCGACCGTTCGCACTTTGACGCTCGTGTATTAAAGTCAACGCGAGTAACGAACAACCACGTTTTCGTCGACCGAGCAAGATAAATATCAATAAGAAGTGGCAGGAAAGAGATTATCTTCCAGAAAAAACACGATGTAACACAAAATAATATATACTTAATAAAAAATAAAAATATTCATGTATAAGCTATTTTTCTTACTAATTTAACAAAAGATTAATATGTGAAATGATAATTCAATTGTATGTTAATTAAGATCTTATTTAAAATATTTAATTGAGCTTAAAAATCAAAAATATTCTAAACATTTCTTATTAGGGATTTTTAGTAATTAATTGAATTAATTATTTTTGCTATTAAAACAATACAGCAATACATTTACAATATTTATAGTATTTACAGTACCATTTTTGCAAATTTATTCTTATTTTATTCATTCTATTTCTTTTACTGCTTGTGTCGCTTATATCCAATTTTTCAGTTTTCATTAAATCTTATCAATGGATTTTTCTTATCTATTAAATTCTTGTAATGCAAAATCAACGCAGTAAAATTTATCTTTAATATATACATTTTACATCTTTAATATCTTCTTTAAGTGCGCTTCAATAATATACTCTTGAAAAAATTTCTTTGTCATTAAAACCCTCCGTACCAACGATCACGGATAATTGATACATACTTTGTGTTTATAATACCACGATATTATTCTCGTAATGACGCCGAGAGATATCGTCTTGTAAGCCCATTATAAATACTCTATCGATAGCAGAGAACCGATATTGCGCCAATATATAGCTAACTGTTCGCCCACTATTTTAGTACGCTGTGTCGGATAACATACAGCGCTGAGATTACTGAGAACGTAACGTTCGAACACAATTTCCTCTTGTCTCTTTATTCATCGTTTGCAATATACATGAATGCGAACTCGAAGGCGAACTGGTGTGATATGTAATACTCTACGCAGCTATTACCGATTCAGTCGAGTCTAATCTGAACTAATCATACACATGTATGGCAACATAATCTTCAATATCCTCAGTCTATATTGAATGTAGATAGATGTAAACACCAAAGGGAAAGCTGGAACGCTTTAGTCCAAACATGCGCGTGTTGACTGCTCAAATGACTTCTTGCAATAATGAAAATGTAAACATACGTGTCAGAATTTCGTAGCAACGCCGATCCCATCAACAAAGCAGAACCAGGCGAGCTAAATTTCAATCTGCTAATTGTAATTTTCAACGTCAAGTGTCTTGGCAATAAAGTTTCACGTTAAATTTTTTATTAAGACAAGATTCAATTGAGAACAAAGTTTCGTTAAAATTCTTAAATATCTTTAAAAAATATTTTTCTTCGCTAAAGTTCTTTGATATTATACAAACTTTGCAACAGAAAGTCTCCATTAAAAATACTATATAGATATAAAATGCACGAAAAATAGCCAGCTCCTCGCTAAAGAAAAAACGTCATAAAATTATTTATAATTGAAACAATATGTAATAATTGCGCGTACTCACGTATTAATAATGAAATTTTAATGAAACACACGCACGTATTGTACTTATTCCTCATATGTGACCTATTATATCTCACGGATTACATTCGGATTATATATTCAATATCAAATAATATTTTTAACAAATAAAAAATAGCACGATTATATTTCAAGTATTACGCGTTTAAAAATAAGCTATATTATTTGCGCGTGTTATTGTTAAATATGATAATTACATTAATAATCCTTTTATGCAATAACCATTTTGCAAACATTATGAAATTTGAAGTATTATCCAATGGAGGAAAAATGTTTGCCAATTATATAACGTACTTATTATTGGAATTTATTACTAATTTAATTAGAGAAACAAAATATTGAAAATATCCATTTTCTCTAAGAGTATACTTACATATTTTATTTATAATGTTATTATCATTATGTACGAAATGCGATAAATCGTATTATGCGATATATTAATATTATTTTACTACAAAAAGTAGAATTTATTTTGTAATCGAATATCTTAATATTGGATAAATTCTTTTTCAATATTTATGGCGTAAATCTTGCACATTTTTAATAAATCTACAATTTTTTTTTCTCGATTAATTATATTTAGTACACGTTGTAATAAATTTTTACGAAATCTATCTCTGAATTTCCAAAAATAACTGGGATGCTCGACACATTCTTGACCTTTTCTTCCGATTCAAAATCTATTTCCAATTTCAAATTCTACAAAAACTTTTACTAAACTGTTAGTTTGACAATCCACTTGACCATTTACTATCTTTAAATGGATTGTTGAAGCTAGAAACGATTTAACAACCATCTTCAATTAACGAATATAGAACAAGAAAATTAAGAGATCGTTAAAGACTTAGCGAACATTATTTGATTATAAAAGTTGATTGTCTCTTTGGTCTAATTTACGTAACTGTCATTGAAATTCACGAACGATCCGAAGTGATGAAGTACGAATATTTAGTTTTAATTAACGTTACTTTAAAAAATCAATATACAATAATACATTCTAATTAATACTTTAATAAATTAAAATATACATATTTAGTTTAACACTATTATTTTTATTAACTTCAATTTAATTTTATATATATATATATTTATTTATTTATAACTACTTTAATTATCTATTTTAAACATTACTTTTATGAATATATGTTAGGACATCAATA